TCATGTTTGGTAAGGTGGAGGGTCAGAGAAAAAGAGGAAGACCCCCAATGAGATGGACTGGCCAAGCGGCAGCATCGATGGACTCAAGCGTGGCAACAGTGGTGAGGTTGGCCCAGGACCGGGCAGTGTTTCGTTCTGCTGTGCATAAGGTCGCTATGGGTCGGTACCGACTCGATGGCACCTAACCACAACAACAACAAAAGTAACCCCATGGACTCCTGATGTGGTGCTGTAGGATCAGCACTGGACTTGAAACCACAAGGTCAGCAGTTCAAACCCACCATCTGCTCCTCAGAAACCCTATACAGGGTCACTACGAGTCTGAACCGACTCAATGGAACTTAACAACAATCATAGATACACCAGAGTAAGGTTCTGACCATATATTCATATTCCAGCACCTTCTGCCAGTTTTCTGGAGTAGCTGGGGCTCACTCTCAGAATCCAAGAAGGGGTGAGTGCAAAAGGCTGGACAGGCTTGGGAGGAAAGCTCAGAGTGGGAGGGGGGTCCAGGTCCTAGGTGAGAGTTAGACTGTTCTGGTTGTGAGGACATGGAGCCCTTGGGTGTGAGAGAGGGTGGTACCATTTTGACTTTCAAAACAGGCTCCTTGGTGTAGACATGTCCCTGGGAAAAGGAGGCAGAGGAAAAATGAGTGTAGGGGCTAGGAGTGGAGACCCTTATGGGGGCTGCTCCTCCAGCTTCCAGGAGGAAGGCCTAGGCCCTGGGGGTGCAGACTGAAGCCAAGGCCAGGAAGAACCCCCACCCCAGCACAAGCAGGCACCTAGCTCTCTGGGCACTGGCAATTGACCAAATGAGCGGGCAAACCTTCATTGTAAAGGTGCTATAGCAGTTTGGACATAAAGCCCTCAGATGGGACACTTCTGGTCCCAACAAGAATTCAGTCTCAACACACTAGCTGGAAGACCCCACTGATCAAAGGCCAGAGCAGACGTAGGAGCTGCGGAGGTTAACTGTGGCCCACAGGTTCAACATTTCCATCCTGTGAGGTCAGGGACCCCCCCACTCCCACCCCCGCCCCCGCCCCTGCCCCCAGGGTCTGACATACAGCTCTCTCCAGAAAAATCCATTCACTTCCACAAAGATCTGTGATGGAGAAGCAACTCAGGACATCTGTCATGTCTGGTCATCTCCCTGCCTAGCCAGGAGTGAGTGTCTTTAAACAAGCAGCTGTCTGCAGGGCGTGGGTTCATTCTCACAGCAATGGGAGGCAGGCTGAGTCTGGGGCTCTTAAGACCTGGGTGTGGGCTGACGGATAAGAGATGACCAATACCCCGTTCGATGCCCCAGGAAGACAAGCGTCCTTCAGGTGCTGGGCAACCAATGGCGATGGAGACCTCACGCCACCTTGCCAAAGTGGGCCTCCTTCTGAGCGGGGACCCCATTAAGTGAACTGGGGAGCAACGTCTGTGGGTGGCTACAAAGCACTGTTTCCAACTGGATTTCAGGGGTCACCGACTCTTCACCTTCCCCCAGGGCCACAGACTGGGGTCACTCACTGTCAAGAAGAAGGGCCGAGTATCACTAGGTCCCCTTCCTAGGCCCGCCAGTTACTCCCATCCTTCAGGAGGGGACTGCCCCGCTCCGTCAGCTCCAGGACGTCCTCAAACCCGCTCTTCGCGACTCCACTTAATGCCCTAGGGTGCTGGCTCCGGGGAAAATGGTTGGAGACTCACAGTCTTCCCTAACCTGACCCTATTGTTCTAGCCGTGGCTTCCGGCTACTGCGTCACAATGTGACGCATGCGTTTTGGTGTCTCGGTTGCGGCGGTGGTTGCGTCACAATCACATAAGCCTCGCGGGCAAAGCGAAAACCAACGGCGCCGCTGGTGTAGTGGTATCATGCAAGATTCCCATTCTTGCGACCCGGGTTCGATTCCCGGGCGGCGCATGTGCATTTTGGAGGGTTTTTCCCACCTTTTAAAGTAGTGACCTAAAAAACGAAAGAAATAAAGGGCCCTTCTTCCTTACCCCGGCAATTTGGAACCCGATACCCTGCTATGTTAGTCGGTCATTGACCCGCTCCAGTGCAACGCGACCGATACCTCGGATGTATCAAGACCCTTCCAGGGAAGGAAAGAAAGTTACTATGAAACACTTCGGCGGACCATGAGCTAGAGGGTGTTAGAGGAATGCTGTGACGAAACCAGCGGCCCCAGCGTGCGACCCCGGGTCTCCTCCACCCGCCGGGCAGCTCTAGACAGTACTGGGGCGGCTGCAGGCCCTTTAAGGACCGGCGCGCGGCCTCTTGGGAGTTGTAGTGCGTTGTGCTCGTGGCATGGTCACCAGACTACAACTCCCAATAGTCCTCGCAGCCACTGGTTTACAGCTCCTTGCGCTCCTCCCGGCAGTGAGCGGAATCCTGAGGCCGGCAATGCTGGTGGCCGCTTCGGCCGAGCGGAATAAGGAGCCCATCCTGCGGGTGCTACGGCAGTACGTGGACCCGACCCAGCGCGGCGTCCGCGTGCTCGAGGTGGCCTCGGGCTCCGGCCAACACGCGGCCCACTTCGCGCAGGCCTTCCCCCACGCCGAGTGGCAGCCCTCGGATGTGGACCAGCGATGCCTGGACAGGTGCGGATAGGCGATGGTGTGTTCGCCGTTCACCCCCGCGGCCATCCCGGCAAAGCACGGGCAGGCCAGGGCAGCGGGAACGTGGGCAGCTCCTGGGTCAGGGTGTCGCAAGGCTGTGGGATGGACTCTGGCCTCTCATCCTGGTCTCCCAGGTCCGCTGTCCATGGTGGGACCCTGGACGAAACCTTTTCCCTTTGAACTCCCCCTAAGGTGGGCTGAGGGGGCATCGGGAAATTGGCGCCCAGGAGCGACCCGTACCCACAGCGCTGCCCTCACGCAGCATTTCAGCCACAACGCAGGCCCAGAGGCTGGCGAACGTGAAGGCCCCGCTGTACCTGGACGTGACATGGGACTGGGAGCAGTGGGGCGGGTTCGGGCCGCAGTCTTTGGACCTGCTCCTCTGCATCAACATGATTCACATCAGCCCCCTCCGCTGTACTGAGGTCTGTGTGTGTGTGGGGGGGGATGGCCAGGGGTCCCAGGGGGACTACCAAGGGAGGGAAGGGAATCTCACTGCCTCTGTCACTCCCTTCCTAGGGGCTATTCAAAGCTGCTGGACACTTGTTGAAGCCCAAAGCATTGCTGATCACCTATGGGGTGAGTGCCCCTCCAGAGGACCCCAAAGATAGGCTCCTGCCCCTCAAAGGGCAGGTCCCACCACCTCTGACTAGAGTGTTTCTGTGCAGTGTCTGGTCTGCTGTCCCCTCTCTACCCTGCTGTCCAGGCCCCGTCTCCCTCCCATGAGCTGGGACCCTCCACTAGGAACTCAATACCTGTCATCAATGTTGAAACACCCCCAGGCTCTCCCAGAGGCAGCCTCCAATCCTTGTCCTGGGCCAGCCTCTCTGGAATGCCCTTTGGCTGACCAGTAGGTCTTTGGCTGCCCATTCTTCACTGGAGACCCCAGAGCAAGCCCCCAATTGAGCCTGGTGCTCCACCACCCACTAGAGCAGACCCCAAGAGCTGTGTCTTATCTCCACAGCCCTACTCAGTCAATGGGAAAATCTCTCCCCAGAGCAATGTGGACTTTGACCTGAGCCTCAAGTGCAGGTCAGACTGGCCGGTGGGGGACAGAGGGGAGGCAGGCAGGTACAGCACCCCCAGGATATGATTCTCTCTCCCTCCTTCTGCAGGAACCCGGAGTGGGGACTTCGGGACACGGCCCTCTTGGAGGACCTGGGCCAGGCTAGTGGTCTGCTTCTGGAAAAGATGGTAGGGGTGGGAGGTCTCAGGGTGGGGGCGGATCTCAGGGACCGGAGCCGTCTTTCCTAGGCAGCGTTCTTTTCAGGTGGACATGCCAGCTAACAACAAGTGCCTGATCTTCCGGAAGAAGTGACTCCCCTTCCTCCGAAATGTCTTCCTCCCTGGACCACCAACCACCTCCTGACCTGTGACCTCAGCCTCCCTGAGAATAAAGCCCATCCCACTCCCCAACCTTGTTTTCATGCTCTTCCTTCTAGGAGCACCCGTCCCTCGTCCCTCTGGGGTAGTCAGAAAGTATCCTCCCTGTGGAGTCAAGCTTGGGCCAGAGGGAGGGAGGGGACTTCTAGGAACAGAGGCTGAGGCAGGCCTGAGCTAGAACCATGAGGTTCTCAGGAGCCAGAGTCCCTGCTGGGGAGAGGTCCCCGTGTCAGATGTCAGGAAGACCATGGCTCAGTATGTGGGCACCAGGAAGTGTCAGGGGCCTCTTGGTGAGACCTAGTACCAGCAAGCCACCAGGTCCAGGAGAAAACTTTATTTGCCAGGACTGGGGAGGGGGGGGCGAGTTGGTCGGGGTGGGTCAGAGGTCGAAGGTGAAGTTGGGGGCGGAAGCCTAGTCCTGGAAGCGGTTGAGGAGCTCGCAGGCTTTCTTCTCTATCAATTCCACAATTTTTCGGACTCGCTTCTCGCTGGCAGCACGTACATAGCTACCGGCGTCCAGCACAGCCACTCCATCCCGCACCTCGCCCATAATGACCAGTGGCCCGTCACCAGCTGTCACGTTGGGACACGGGCAGGTCCAGTCCACGCCCAGCAGTGTCACCTCTAGGTATTTGGTGCCGAAGAACTGTAAGCCCATCTTATCATCCTTGAGCACATCATCCAGGGCCACACGAGCAATGCCTCCGCCTCCAGCGGCCTCAGGGTCCTGCAACACCTCTGTGAGCCGTCCCACGATGGCGAAGTCGCTTCGGCACAGGCTCAGCGCCAGCCTGCTTCGAAGACGGCAAACACCGCACGGCTGTGTGCGCGGTACCGGACAGGCATCCTCGCACGCCTCGCGGTTCTCGAAGTTGTTACCATTGCCCTCGCAGCCACCATAGACAAACGGGTGGCACTGACGCAGCAGTGGGCTGTAGGCCCAGCGTGACTCGTGGCCCGGGCACGGGCCCCGCACAGCGGGGAGCACGCAGGTGTCACCAGGGCCAGGGGCGCATGCCCGCTGGCACGCATCGTACGTCTCAAAGCCGCCCCACGCCCCCTCGCAGCCGCCCATACCGAAGGTGGCGCAGCCGCCGCGCTGCGGGTCAAAGCGCCAGAGTACTCGCGGCACTGCGAGGCTGGCGCAGGGCTGCGTGTCAGGCACGGGAGCGCAATCCACCGGCGTGGGCACGCCTGGCGCGCGTGGGGAGGTCTCCGCAGCCGGGCCTCGTTGCACCACCGAGAGCGGGAAGTCAGCACGCAGCAGGCCAGCAGCATTGTGGGCAGTGCAGGTATAGAGGCCGGCGTCCTCTGGTCGCGCATTGTACAATACTAGCTGCCCGATGCTGGTGACCACCACGTTACCGTACATCTGGTCCGGCCGCAGGATCAGGTTATCCTGTTGCTCGCTCTGCCTCTCCCAGGTGATGGCGGGTGGTGGGCGACCGCTGACGTCGCAATGCAGGCTAGCCGTGCCGCCGACGACCACCACCTGTGGCGAGGGGTTACTGTAAAGGGCGGGCGGCTCGGGCGCTTCGGACACAACTCCGTGTGTTGGGCGCACCGTGGTCTCAGGGGTCTCTGGGACGTCGGGGGGTCCCGGACTGCTGGAAGGCCAGCCCAGCACCGACTTGCAGGGAACCACGCGCAGGCGCAGACCGCGCAGGCAGGCCTCGGCGTCCAGGTAGCAGCGGTTGTAGTAGGTGAGACCGTCAGAGGCGCACGTGAAACTGGGTTCTTTTCCGCAGCGCTCACGGCAGCGGCACACGGGCTGACCGTCCCAGATGTCACAGTCGGAGCCTTGCTGCTGGCACACGAAACCCTCACACGAGGCGGCGGCTGGTGCTGTGGGCTCTCCGGGGCCGAAGCGCGCCGCCACACAGCTCCGCAGACCGCACACGTTGGGGCAGCACCTTTCCGGAGCCGCGCAGTCCTGGGAAGCAGCAGGAGGAAGCGACTCAGTGTGGCCTCCTCCGCCGCTGCCCTGCTCCTTCCCTGCCCATTTGAGATGCCCATGGTGAGACGGCCCGGTCGGTCCCTTCGATTGCAGCCCCCGGCCTGTTGCCGGCTCTCCTCTCCTGCTGAGCTGCCATTGCGCTACAGAAGCCCCTCACTCGAGCTCCCGCCATCCCCACTGCACGCCGGTTGCTCCCCTTGCACAAAGAGAGACCGACTGAGGCCCAGCGCTCACCCCGCGCTGCCCAAGCTAACAGAGTAGCAGTTGGGATGCAACATGGTGGCGCTGATTGAGGATGTGGGTTCCCCCTGTCCGTCCCCAGGTCCGAGGGCGTGTCCACTCTGATCCGCCAAGGTGGGGAGGGTGGTCGGGACATGAACGGGAAGGTTCCCGACTAGAAGGCCAGGAAGGGGGCTCCCAGTGTTCAGATGTGAGGTGGGGGGAAGGGGGCCGCCGGGGTACCCCAGGAGGACCTAACCCTCTGGTTCCCTCCTGCGACACCCTCCCTGCTCACCTGGTCTCCCAGGCACTCCCGCTCACAGGTGCTCTGGGCGTCCACCCACAGATGGGGGTTCAGGTGGTTGGGGCACACACCTGGATGACTCCCAGGCTCTTCTGCTGGTGGTGACGGCGGCGGTGGCGGCAAGCTGGGCCCCGTGACCAGCCCAACAACGGCAGCAGTGGCCAGGAGTACAGCCAAAGGCAGCAGCGGGGCCGGCATGAAGGCTGCGGGGCGCCGTGCGGGCGGGGAGACCCTGCAGGCACCCACCCCGCCCCCGCAGGCCCCCCACCACCACCTCCCACCCCTGGCCTGCTGGTCCTTGCCTCTCCTGGCCCCCTCACCCCCAGGCCCAGGCCGGTACCCAAGGCAGGTGTTCCGGCCCGGCGTCTGAGGTGTCTGGGCTGGGTTATGGGGTTCCTCAGAGCTCTTAGAGTCAGCCCCTGCGGCTTTGGTCGTCAGCACTGGCGACTCCCAACCTGGTCAGCATGGCGAGAGAAGGGGAGGGGGAGGGGCTGGGGCCAGGAGCACAGAGCAACTGGCCGAGCAGGGTCACTGAGGGGCGGGGAAGGGCAGACTCTGGCCAGTGCAAGGGAGGAGAGGGATGGGGGGGTACTGTAACCCGAGCCCCTCCCCACACCCTGGGCTTAGGGATCAAAAAGCCCTAGTTCCAGACCCTCCCCCCATCTCAGGACCAGGAAGGTGGGGGTAGGGCTGGCTGGCCTCAGCTTTTGTCCCTATCTCTTAGAGGGGGCTACCACGGGGTGGTGGGGGGTAGGGTAGACAGAAGCCCCTCTCTCCTGGCACTATTCAGGCTGGTCCGTGCTGTTAACCTGTATGTCACTTTGTCCAGGTAAGATACCAATATGTGTGTGTGTGGGGAATGCTTCAAGTTTCCCCTTAGCACAGACCAGGGGCGAGGGGGGAGGCTCTTCCCTTCCAGCAAGTCCACCTTGTACATTCTTATAAGCAGTCCTCCCCCCACACCGTCCCACTCCCACCCCCCCACCCCCCGCTGGTCCTTCCGTTGACTAGGGGGAGGGGTTGGTGCCTCGAGGGCTGTCATTGCAGAGAGCCCTCCTGGTCCAGGAGGAATGGGTCCAGATGGAAGAATGTTCTGGAGCATTGGGGGGGGGATGGGCATGCCCACATCCATGCTGTCCAGTCCATGGTTAAGTACCTTGGAACCGAACTGTGAATTTGAATGAATTTTGATGAACTCAAATTCAGAAAACTGAAGTAGTTTGAAGGAGAGACAGCCTAGTTGGGGTGGGGGTGGGGGACAGCCAAGCTGGCACCCCCCCAACAGTGGAGCCTAAGTGGCTATCCACAGGGAGATGAGGGTCTGTCCTCCAGTCTGGGGGGCAGGGCACAGGACAAAGGGCATTGGGAGGCGGCCCTTCCAAAGCTTTGCAGCTCCAGAGGCAGGCACCCTGATCGAGACTGTTCCTGTGACCCTGCTTGTGACCTGCCCCAGGAAGCAAGGTACCGAGCCTGGTGTGGTGTGCGTACGGCCGGGCTGTCACTGGTCCAACCTCACTCTACACACCAGCAAAGCCATAGCTTCAGGAGTCCAGAGGGCAGAAATGGGGGGTCAGCTTGCAGCTGTGAGGACTCTCCCTTGCCCCTACTCCCACCCACCAGGCACTTTAATTTAAAACCAGAGACTTTAATTTACATGAAGTGAACCACAGTGTCACAGTTGAATTACATTTACTGTACAAAGAAATAAAAATGGTTATCGGGAGAGGACGTGGGGATAGAGTCCACAGCAGCATGGGGTAGTGTCAACGTCTGGAAGGAAAAACCAAGTCCGTGGGTTCTCTTTCTAGTTCCAAGGAAAGGCGCCCATCAGCAAGAACAGGGTGGGGGCCTGGACGCATCCACAAGGCCAGCAAGGCCCAACCATCTGCTCAGGACCCATGTCAGGGTCATTGTAGGGCAGGAGGTAGTGTTGAGCACCAGTGTGCTGGACGGCCGTCATCCAGGCTGACTTGGAGGATGGGGAGGTGTACCCCAGGCAGCCTGTTCCTGTCTGCACAGAGGGATCAGCCTTTCTTGAGCTCCGTGTGAACCGACATGCCTCAGCCCCTCGGGAAGCAGCCACACACAGTCCTCGGGAATGCTTGCCAGAGCGCTGGTGGAGCCCCACACTGGGGTCTGTCCTGGACGTGGTCCAGCATACGCTTAAGGAGGGTGTACCCCTTACCCCCCACCCCCAGTCTGTGCAGGCCCTGGTGCTGGGATGAGGTCACAAATGCAGTCAGACCTCCCGGGAACTGTCCCCAGAACATCCCAATGGCCAAGAGCCACACATAGACCTCCCGGACTCCCCTCAGAAATACACCGAAGCAGACGCCATCTTTCCTGGACGCCCAGGGCTCCACGTGCTCTGCCTCCTGGGACCACCCTGACCAGCAGCATTAGCAGCCAGAGCCCACCCCTCTATCCTCCTGAGCTTGCTCTGCTGAAATCAGCCACTCCCCCTCCCCTGAGTTCAGGCTGGAGGGGCCCCCAGAGCCCTGGGCAGGCATGGGGAGCAGGGCCGGGCCAGCCCTTCTGGCTCGCAAGCAGTGAGCCCGCTAGGAGATCTTGCAGTTGCTGCGCGAGCAGTTCTGAGGGGGGCTCTGTGGGGGTCGGATGGAGCGGGAACGCTTGAGACTGTTGCCTTTGCTGCTCCCTCCGCTGCCCCCGCCGGCCAGCGAGTAGGAGCGGCCATGCATCATGACAGCGTTCATGCCGTTGGCCATGGAGAAGGACTTGAGGTGGCTCTTAATGGTGACAGGCAGCGGGAGCTTGTCTATGAGGTGCACGGGAGTACAGGACACGATGGCGCGGCAGCAGAGATCCTGCAAGCTGAAGACTGGGGGGCGGGGGCAGGGCGTGGTTAGAGTTGGAGAGGCAGGGGGCGGGGCTTGGGCAGGGGGCGTGGCCAGTGTGGGGCCTCACCACGGTTAGGTCTCCAGATCTTCTCCATGCCATGACGCATGAGGACGATGCGTGACAGCTCCGTGAAGGATTCAGTCACGTTGAAGTTGCACAGCGGGCTGACCTCGAAGAAGGTCATGCAGTTCTTCTCCGCGTAGGCACGGGCCTGCTCAGTGGGCACCTGCCGCTTGAAGGCTAGGTGCAGCCGGTTCCCCACCAGGATCCGGGGGACCCCCGGTGCGTGCTGGGGGGCACAGGACTCAGGGTGGGGCACAGCACGCACCCCCTTTCCCACCCTCCCCTGCTGCCCATCAGAGGCCTGGCTGGAGTCCCAGTTTGGGATCGCCACCCTGGTCACTGGAGTGCAACTGGGGATGTGAGGTCAGAGGTTCAGGAGCAGCTAGGGCCCCCAGGGGTTACTGATGGGGTATGCCCACCTACCTCATCAATCTCCTTGATCCAGCGATCAATACCGTCAAATGACCAGCGGTTGGTGATATCATACACCAGGAGAATGCCCTGTACCAAGACATGGGTCAGCCACCGCCTGCCTACTAGACGCTGGGGCTTACGCCGTGTGATAAGAACTGGACCTCAAGGACAAACCCACCAGCTACTCCTTGGAAACCCTACACAGGGTTGTTCTGAGTCAGAACCAACTCAACACCAATCTGCAACCACCCTCGAGTCAGTGTCCATGCATGCTGCCTCCCCTCCATGCACGCAGGGCCACACCACCCTCAAACGCATGAGTCCTGTGTTACCCCTAGCACCAGTGCCTGAATATGTCCTAAGCATGGCCCTGGGCCTGTCCAAGCTCCAGGAGGCTGGCTGGACAGTGAGCAGCAAGCTGAACAGGAATGTGGGCAGTTTGTGTGTGTGTGTGGGGGGGTTGCTCAGGCACTGTGCCTGCCCCCGCCCCCGTACATATGTGGCAAGGCCCACTCCCCTCAGTGTGAGGGGTCCAGAGTGAGTGCTGCCTCCTGGGCACTCCCCGAGAAGAGGAGGCAGAACCTATAGTCAGTCACCAGGTGCTGAAGGCCTGGCTGCAGACAGGATGCTATAGGGACTTCAGTACGTCCCTCAGAGACCAATTACTCTGAGCTCAGGCCTGGAGCAGAGCTCGGGGCCTATGCCTCTCTCTGCCCTGGATTTCACGCAGTGTACTGTGGTCAATGCCTCACACATGCACCCAGAACCCCACTCCAGGGGCAGAATCCAGCAGGCAAACCACTCAGTCCTCGTCCCACAAAACCCCTATGGAGTGGGGGGAGGGCGAGTGCCACTAGAGTAGACAACGCTCCCACCTCAAAGTGACAACCTTCCTACCATCCTAAAACACCTGGAGCTCTGGCTCAGACTGTGCCAAGGTGGGACTGTCCACCACTGTCACCGACCTGGCGGACATCCTGAGGCGGGGTGACTCCCTGAGGCGGGGTGACTAAAAGGATGAGAACCACCTCAGGCCAGACAACAGAAGGCACCTCTCCAATCACCAAGTCTCGCTACTTGGGGTACATGGTGTCCGGATGGGGTCCGATATAACCCACTCACTGACTCGGTCATACCGCCTCTAAGAAATCACTGTGGGTGTGCCTACGATTAGCCCCAGAGGATGTCCTTCACAGCGTCGTCTGTCATGAGGGCCCACTGAGTAAGTCGTACAAATACACCACGAGGACATTACCAATAACACTTTAGAAGGGTTGTGGGTGGAGCAGAAGCCCTTCAAAAGGTGTGTCTCCGTCCTAACGCTGCACCTTTGACTGTGACCTCGTCTGGGGAAATCACAATAGGGTGGACCCTAAGCTTAACCCCTGAGTGGCATTTTATAAAAGGAGGAAGGACAGAGCCGCAGACACGGTGCCCCAGGAACACCCGGACTGTCAGATGCTGGGCGTGAGAAGGCTCTCTAGAGCCTCAGGGGAGAAGAGCCTGCTGTCACCCCGAATCCAGACTCCTGGCCTCTAGAACCGAGATCAAACACCTCTCTGGCTCTTCAAGTGGTTTGCCAAGCATAGAAAGATGCAGGTAACGTGCAGGTCCCACACGTAGCGTGGCTTTCAGAAAAAATGACCAATACACAGGGACAGCACACAGAGACAGACACCAGAGTCTGGGGGGATGGCGGAGAGTGACTGTCTCGTTTATGCTTTTGTCTCTGTTTCCTGAGCATGACACACATGATGTTTAAAAACGAACACGGGTGATGAGTCGGTGGGCCTGCTCTTGGGGGGGACACCAAGATCAGCTGACCTCACACAGTCCACAAAGCCGATGTGCTAACTGACCAGGTACTAAAAGCTCAAGAGCGGGCATCTAGGGTGCAGCCACTGGTCTCTCCGTGTCCAGAGCACAGAAGAGTGAAGAAAATCAAAGATGAAGGAACCAATGAGTCCACAGGACTAGTGAGGCCCACACACATACACATAACACCACCGTGTAGGTCCACCGTGAGGACGAGCAGCTGGCCAGGGCTCGTACCAGCAGGAGTCTCTGCCCCACGTCTGGGCCTCCATGGGGGTCAGACAGGAACAGGACTCACCAGGTGGCTTGGGTCTCACACCCATCGCAGCAGAGTGAGAAAGCGGAGCCTGCTGGCTACATCTCATCAGACACGACCCCCAAGCTGTTAGCTCTGCCCCCTCAACACATGTTCTAAGGTTGCCCTGAAATGGGCCTGGCTTGTCTGCAGCTTGTATGCTTAGCAGGCCACCCCCAGAGAGCTGGACCACATGGAGCTCCCTGCATGGGGGTCCAGGGAGACACGTCCCCTGACAAGGAGGGCTCTCAATGAGACTGTCATCTTCAGAAAGGGAGCGTGCCTGTGGGGTTTGCAGGAGCGCATGAGCCAAGCAAAAACACAGAACTACTTACCTGGGCGCCCCGGGAGTAGGATCTGAAGATGGTGCAGAACCGGCCCTGCCCCGAGGTGTCCCTGAGATGTATGGGGAAGGGGAGCGTCAGCAAGAGATGTGGCCCCCAGGACCCTCTCACCATCCATCCTCATCCAATCCATGGATCCCCTCCCCACCCCCCAGGGCCGGATGCAGTGAGATTAGGCAGCATGCTGTTCCAGAAAGGACGGCCAAATCCAATTCCCCCCCCACCCACCCATAGAAGCAGCATGTCACAGGAAGCAAGCCGCAGGACACCCACATTGTACTGTTTTGGAAAATTCTCTAATGTGGGCCCTGAGAACGCTTCACTGAGGAAGCAGGCTCACCTCAGCGTCCAGATCTTTACCCACCCACCCACAGCTCCTCACCAGAGCTCCAGCTTTACACGCCGGCCGTCCAGCAGGATGGTGGTGGTCTTGTAGTCGATGCCTGGAAGGGATCAGAGGGCAGGGAGGTGAGGGACACTGGTCATAGCAGCTGACCATCCTCAGCCCAGACACAGGCCTGGCAGGGAAGGTTCACCGACTCTCCCTGTCCCCATGAGGGGCCCAGAACGTGGTCATAACAGGTCTAGAGCAACACAGAGGCAAAGTGAGGTTCAAGATGCGGCTTCTCAGCCACCTGGACAAAGTCTGAGCTTTCTCACCGCTCAGGGCTGACTTAGGAGTCATGTAGAACCCCCCCCCCAATGCGCTCACCGACGGGCACAGGGCCTGCCTTGCCTCTGCTTCAAAAGTCTCACAACTCCTTTCCTTTTTGGTAAAATTGGCTCCAGGAGAACTTGAAAACTGGGCATTAAAAAATGTAGCTGCTGTCATCCCATGGTGTGTGTGCATACGTACTCACACTTGTTTATACACACGTGTATGTATGTCTGCATGTATTCACACACGTATAACATACCACCTGGAGGCTGGCCTGGGCAGAACCCACTGTGGGGTGTATACACACACACACACAACACCCCCCCTGGACACTGGTCGGCACAGAGCCCACTCGCTGTGGGGCGTGTGAAGGTGCCATCCTGCCTGGCTCATTTTCGACTGTAAGAGACTATCTGGGTACACACCAGCCCTCTCAGAAGGGCAGTTGGGTGAGGACCCCGCCCCTCCTGGCCTCACAGTGGGTACCAGGTCTGGAGAGTTGGCTGAGGTGATGGCCCTTTCCCTGTCTCTGTATGGTGGTTTGTCCTCACTAAGGCCTTCTATCTCCTGCTGTGGGCCACTAGATGGCAGCGTTGCCCAGGGTCCAGAATGCCTGTCCGACCTGGAATCTGTTCCCAACCGGCCTGGACAGACCAAGGGCCAAGCGATGTGGAGGGGTGTGGGTTCCTGCCTTCCGGGGTATTAATCACTGGGGAGAGCATGTTGCTGCCCTCTCATCCTCGGGCCTTCAGGACGACCCCAGAGACACACTGCTGCTCCCGGCTGTCTGTGGGGGACATGATAGCACAGGTGCATTTGGACATGTAACTGGTCAAACCGGGAGCACCTACTCATAAAGTCGACATAGCCCCTGAAGCTGCCCACCACCTGCCTTGGGCTTGCCAGCAGGGGAGGTTTTCAAGAGGACAGGGCAGCTCGATGGGTCAGTGAGGAAGGGCAGTGGCCTGGAAGCTGGCGGCAGAGTGGACAGTGAAGGGCTCTTGGGCATGGCTCATTCCTCCTGCCTCGGATCCCATTTTTAAAGATGCCAATATGCTATTCAGAGTCCTGCTATGACATTGTGGTTTAACGCGCTGGACCGCAAAGTCAGTTTCAACGTCAAGGTCGGCAGTTCAAGTTCTATACAAGGTGGCTCTGGGTCAGAACCCACTTGATGGCAGTTAACAACAATACACTGTCCAGTGAGGAACAGGGCACAGTCCACTCTCAATGTCCCTTCTCCTGTCTGTCACTGCTGGGACCACTTGTGGCGTTGGAGCTGAGGCTCAGGAAGCTCATTTACAACTTGGGACAGGGGCCCCTCAATCTCACCATGCCCCCCCCTCTCTACACAGGAACAGCCCCTCCCTCACCCAAGAAGATAGCTGGGTGGGCAGGTAGTCATGTGTCTTGGGGCCACACTGGCCCACCATCAGGAGGACAAGAGGACACTGGGACTCCTGATCTACCCAGTGATACCCTGAGGAGTCTACTGACACACCCACAGTGAAGCGAGAGGCCCGCTGACTGGGGCCTCACGAGCCTGGGGATGGACCCTGCCTATGCATTCTAGGGTCGCTTTCTCTGGGAGCTATCATTTCTTCCCTTGTCCATTGCTCTGTAATCCCAAGGAATCCACCTCATGCTTTAGAAGCCAGATGATTTTCTAAAAATGAAACGTGTCTCTTGAAAGGGACACCACTCCTGACATGAAAGCCTACATAGTTTGAGACCTCCGTTAGGGCGCTGTTCTAGAACTTGCAGCCCCTAGGTGCCTCTGCCCAGCCAGGGTCTGAAAGTTCAAGCACCATGTCTGTGTTCACTACCACAAAAAACACCGGTGGGAAGTGAACCAAATCTAGACATCAGCCCTCTGGGGCCCAGGAAACCTCACACCTAGAGCCCCATGCCAGTCAGTGTGGGGAAGTAGGGAGACAGCCAGCTGGACAGGCCACGCTTGGCTCAGGAACACAAATGACAGTGGAGAAGAGTGTCTCGACACAGAAACCACGCTCAAAGGGAGCGTGGTCTAGGCGGGGACAGGGCTCCTGACAGAGCCAGGTGGTTCACCCAGTGCCAAGAAGCTCAGTGTGCCAGGGAAACCCAAACAGTCACGGCTGGCCACTGTGTGGTCCCCAAATCGCGTCACCTTCTCTTCCTTCTTCCCACCACCCCCTCCCAGGGCAAGCCAAGACCCTAGGATGGCTGCTCCAGGGTGGGCATATAATCACGGCTCTTCCCTGGTAGCCCGACAAGGGGCCGCTCCGGCACCGTTCAGGCTCTGGAAGACAATGCCCTCACCGAGGGTCCAGGGGTAGGGAGCAGCCGCTGCCCCAGGCATGATGCCTCAGCAGCTCAGTGGGTGTGCCCGCACGCTGCATAGGAGCCAACTGGGTCCCCAACTGGTGACACACACTGAAGCCAGTCAAGGCCCTAACACAGGCATCTGAGCAGCAGCCATGGCCCCCCACGCTGACAGCCCTACGTCACTGACAGTGAGGACTCGAGATGCCACCGGTGTCTGCTCTGAAACCACCTCCCAGAACAGAGGCCAACAATCACCCCCCACCCCACTCCTAGAAGGGCTCCAAGTCTGGAAGCTCAATACTGCCCGCAGCTCCAGGTGCAGGGGTGGCACCAATGACTCAGACGTTTGCAAGCCGAGGGTACTGCACTCACACACCTGCCTGAGGAACAGGCCTGACCAGCCTCCACCAGGGACCTGGTGCCAGGAACAGAGCTGCAGCCTCCTCCTACACAGACCAGCCTGTCAATCTGACGTGAGTGCCCCCCTGCCCTGAGGTAAACGCACATGGCGGAGGCCCCTTGGACAAAAGCCCTGGTGATCTATTTCCTAAACCTCAGGCCCTGTGAACCCTGGAGAACATAGTACTCCTCTGACATACTGCGGGCGCCCACGGTCAACTTGATGCCAACCAGTTTGGATCTCCTGGGCAGGACGATCAGTGAATGAACTTGACTGCTAGCTAAAAGATTGCATTGACCCAGAGGCGCAGCATAACAAAGGCCGGGCAGTCCACTTCTGAAAACTCCACTGCTGAGAGCTGTAGGGAGCACAGTTGTACAATGACACACATGGGACCCTCATGAGCCGGGCAAGTGGTTGGGTTTGGAACCTTTTATAAGAGGACCAGAAAACGTTACAATTCCAACAAAGAAGGACAAGTCCACCTGGTTCTGATCCTGAAGGCTCCGCTAAGCCCAGTGCTCGCCCCACGGAACCTAGGATGTGTCTGCTTACCTGACAACAAGACCCATCTAGGCGCTGTGTTCGCTAGCTCACAGGGACCCTGGGGAAAAGGTGCAAAGACTAGGTGGAGGTGGCGGCGCTGAGAGGAGCCACCGTGTCCTTTCCAGGAGCGGCTCTCCTGATGGGCCAGTCACGTGAGTGGCCACCGGCTCTCAGGAAAGTGTCCTCATCTCACATAGGACTGTCCCCACTGTGGTTAACAGTCACAGGAAGTGTGGCAAGAAGCTGAGGCCTGGCGGAGAACCCAGGGGGATGACAGTCCCACCTCCTTACTGATGGCTGTGTTCCTTGAGCCACTGACACTGCTGTCCCACCGGGGGACAGAGCCCAGCCTGGGCAGCGCAAGTTCAAGTGTCCCTCTCCCTTCTGAACACTATGTGTTGGGAGAGCACCCACTGTTCACTTCAGTGGTAGGAGCTGCCGCTGAGGGTGGCTGGAAGACCTGGCAGGGGCCCTTCCCTGTTTGTCCCTGTAGCGCCTCACACAACTCCCACACCTAGAGTCCTTGATAGAGCCAGTCCGGTTTTGGGAAGAAGGGACACTGGTGTTAGCCAATCAGCCCTGCACCCTGATGAGCCCATAGGGAAGGGGCAGGGTGAGCAGGCTCTGCATCGTTTTGCAGGCCAGCGAGGAAGAGCACGGCAGACGGGGCTGGAGAAGCGGAGCCGATGGAGAGAGATGGTCCAGGAAGCACATCGCCAAGCAAAGCAAGTGGTAGCAGCGACATCCATGTGTGTGAGCCCCACAAGTGGACACCTGGTGTAGGCACCCACACAGTGGAGGGGCGGGGTGCAATATCAGAACCAGGACCCTAAGACCCCCACCTCGGATGTACCTCCCTGCTCTCCTATGACCTCTTCCCACACACAGTCTTCTCCATCGACCCACAGGTTCAAACAAGCAGGCAGTGGACGCCAGCTTCATTCGCCCTGGCCAGCCCAGGCTTTCTTGTGCAGCCACCAAGCCGCTCAGACTGAGCTGTGGGGACGGGAACCCTTCTCCTTCAGAAGGCCTGTCAACCTGACGTGAGTGCCCCCCTGCCCTGAGGCAGCCCAGCCAGCAGCCATGACCATGACCATGACCATGGAGTCCTTTCCAGCTCATCAGAGAGCCCACAGGACAGAGTGCAGCTGCACCAAGATTGCTCTCTATGGGAGCAGACGGCCAGAGCTTTCTCCCACAGAACAACGTCAGTCAGCAGCTGAGTGTTTTAAGCAGTGTGCCACTAAGGCCCCTTGATGGCTGCTACCTGAGTATCCCAAGCGCAGGCCCTAGCTGACACACTGTTGTTGTGCGCTGACAAGTCATTTCTGACTCATAGCTGCCCACTAACAGTTTCCAAGGCTATCAACTGCTACGGACTGCCCATCTTTCTCCCACAGAGACGGCAGGCTGGGAAGCCGGGACACTGAGTACAAAGGCTCCTTCAGCATGTGTAGGTAGCTTCACAAGAGGCCTCGGGTCACCATCAGGCGCGCCCAGCTGACCGTGTGCTCGGGGTTCACGACTTCCTTGGGGTCTCGGGGACAGCAAGAAAACAAAGTGCAGACTGCCACAGGCCTGCCCCTGCCAGGTGGCACCACGTTGTAACTACTGCGAGCAGAGGAGAAAGAGGCGCCTGTCACTTGGCTTTAAATCGTCGCCTAACCAAATGGGGTGCTGGCTGTCACCGTCCTTGTTACAGCCCATCCCACCCCCGGCTCAACGGGGGCGTGTGTGGGGGTGACAATGAGAACGGTGTGCCCACACACAAGCCAATGTGCCCCACTTCTGTGAGGCGATGCCTTAGGGGATTCGGGCTGGGGTCTGGGCCAACGCTGATGGACGAGCGTCCATCAAACCTACAGGCAAAGGCCGTCTTCCCAGGAAAAGTCCTCCTGGGGCCTAGCAGAGCCGACTTGCAGGCCTGCGTCGGGGAGACAAAGGCTCTGCCAGCCAGGGCTTCCTGGATGGCACAGGGGGACGGAGCCTGGATGAAGGAGCCTCAGGGGACAGGTTTGCACTACTGGAGGACGGGCCCATTCGCAAGGCCAGCAGGACATGCCCTGGACACAGGACCAGAAGCCCCAACCTCGGGCCTGGCAGTAAATCCCCATCTGCAGGCAGTGGAGCCCCATCCATTATCCACACAGCCCCCACAGTGGAACTCTTGCTCCTCGGGCCCAGTGATGGACCCCCATCCCCAAACCCGGCGGCAGGCCGTCGTCCCCACGCCCGGCGGCGGACCCCTGTCTCCGGCCCGGCGCGGGTCCCAGCCGGCCTCACCGTTGCTGTAGGCGTAGGGCGACTCGGCGGCGCCGTCCTGCAGGCTCTCGAGGATCTCGCCCTTGCCCACGTCGCTGTCGCCCACCAGAAGGAACTTGAGCAGGTAGTCGTAGCTCTTCACTAGGCTGCCCTGAATGCCCATTGTCTTCGCATGGGCGCAGGCCCGGCCTGCAGACTCTGAGGGCGACGGACAGAGTGAACAGAGCGACTAGGCCGGAGCCCGGCCTTCCAGGGAGCTGCTGAGACCTGGCGGCAGGAGGCGCCGAAGAGCGGTGGCTGCCCCGCCCGCAGCCCGGAACACAACGCGGCGCGCCGTCTTGCGCGCACCCGCCCGTCGCCGCCCGGGCCCCACCGCTTCCCTCACGGCGTCGCGCAGCTCGTGCCCCGCCCCCGACTGCGCCGTCGCCATTGGCCACCCGCGTCTGGCCTCCTGCAGCCATTGGCTCTAACGCACGTCCGTCACGGACGTACCGCCCACGCCTTTTCCCACACAGCGCCGCGGAGCCTTCAGCCGCCCCGCCCATCACCGGAACCATTGGCTGCTCGCCGTCCGCTTGACCGCGACCATTAGCCTGAACGCACATCCGTCATGGATGCCCGCCTCCATTGCGCTCCTCACATCGCTGCGGTGTCTCCGGCCGCCCATCCCCCCACTTTCCCGGAATTATTGGTCCGCCTGCACGTCCATCAGCGCTTCCGGGAGAGCACTTGGAGACATTGGCCACTCCGCCCGTCTTCGCTCTTGCCCGCCCCCTTGCTGTCATCATTGGCAGTTGCTGCTAGTCATTCCAGCGCCATTGGCCTGTCCGGCCCCTCTGCCTTACCCTCACCAATCAGGAGCTTGGAACTCCAGGCTTGTTTGCATAAGTGCCCTTCTTTCTTGCGGACCGGGCGCGGGAGAGTGGTGGTCCCCGGAGAAAGCGGCAGGGCTCGGGAAAACGAAGCCTCTGGCTAGCTGCGACCCACTACTTTGCAAGGGGGTCCTCCTAGCAGCGGGCTGGCAGGAGCGGCCAATCGACGATCGGGCACTTCAAGGGTGGGACTTCCGTTCCCGATGGGCTGGGGATTGGGAGTTACGGCAGGCAGGTTGAAGGGCGAGTTGGTGGTGGGGCCAGGGGACAGTGAAGGCGGGCCGTGGGGTTTCAGGGCTTGAAATGGCAAGGCCACGCAGGGGACAGTAGAGCGGAACGACATTGGTGACTAGGCTGGGGAACAGCAGGGGGCAGTGGGTCGGGTGGCGAGGCTCTGGAGCTGGATTGTGCAGTGACTGGGCCAGGGGACAGTGGGTACGGCCAGAGGCAGTCTTAGAATGAGGGTGGGAGCCTGTGTGCCCACCCACGAGTCTGCGGGCTGGACCCATGGAATGGCCCTGGCCATTATCCCAAGACTTCCACCCTCCGGGGGGCGAGGGCTGCAAGTACTCGAAGTGAGCCACTTGGTCAGCCACGAGGCCTGGTATTCAGCGGTCTCCTAATGTTTTAGGCAAATCTGCTGCAAAAGACGTTTTTAAAGTGTTTTAAGAGCTAAAATGTCAGTTTGAGAGCTAAGCTGTGCCTGACTCAAGCCGTGGTATTTTCAATAGCCTCTTATGTGTCTGAAAGTTGGATAGTGAAGAAGGAAGACTGTAGAAGAATTAATGTATTTGAGTTAATGGTGTTGGAGAAGATTATTACAAGTACCATGGACTACCAGAAAAACAACTAAATCTGTGTTGTAAGAAATACAGCCAAGATGGTGAGCTTCTCTCGTACCTAGGACATATTATCAGGAGGGATCATCCCCTGGAGAAGGACATCGTGCTTGGTGGATGTCAGCAAAGGGTCAGTGAAGGGAGGAAGACCCCCAGTAAGTGAATTGGCATCGTGGCAGGAGCAATGGGCTTAACCGTAACAATTGTGAGGATGGCACAGGAACCAGCAGTACATAGGGTGGCTCTGAGTTAGAATAGATTCAGTGGCACCTAAAAACAATGCTCTAGAACCTTC